AGGCTCCATTGTAGTTCCTTTTGGGAGTTAGCCTATAGAATCCTTAATATAGAATTTGTAAAACCCAAAAAACAGGAACTACAATGGAGCCTATAGGTACAAGTAGGGTGTGGTGTTCTAGCGGAAAGCATGAGGGACCAGACTAGAAACTTAGCTGCGAATTCAGCTGAGACCCGACCTCAAGGCCTTTCTTTGAGTCTCAACAGAAAACATCGAAGTCCTAAGCCTAGGCCCAAACTTACGCCGCCAGCAACCATCAGCACTTAAGCCACACAGGAATTGGAAATTGGGGCTCTCGGCGAAGTATCGGATTGAACATTTCACGACAGCTGGGCGAAGGGTTCGGTTTCTATTTTTTGGTGCTTTCCAAACTCTACAAAAGCCAAACTCACCCGGATTTGAAAGCCCGACTGCAAGAAACAGCTTACTGAGCAGGAGTTCTTCAGTCATCGGGGGTTCCTGCGCTTGGTTTCAACAGGGCTCTCGGGTGATTGAAACTATGAGAAAGGATTCAGGGCTCAGGGTTGAGGAAAACGTCGTCTACTATAGCAATAGCACTGGAGACTGGCATCACTAAACCCGAAGACCTAAATCATGACACTGGCCTAGTCCTGACCCCAAAAGCCATACCCTGGACCCTAAACTCTAAACCCTAAACCCTAAACCCGGCCCTACACCCAATCCCAAGACCCACAAAAACTGAACCCGGAAATCCTCAAAGGTGCGCTGTCTGGCTGACATATTGAGCACCGGACCTTCTTGTGGTAGTTGAGAGGCCTTAGGGACACGAGCTTCAACTTGTGTTGAAGTGCAGTTTACGGTTGTAGGCCCAGGGTTTTCGGCTCTAAGGGCTTGAGGGGTTTTCTGGATGTGTTCTTAACTCATGCGCTCCCCTCCCATCGTCTTTACCCTTAGGGTTTAGGGTTTAGGGTTTAGGGTTTAGGGTTTAGGGTTTAGGGTTTAGGGTCTCCCTCTCCCGTCCGGAGACAGACCTGTTCCCTCTAGAAGACCTTTGCGGGAGATGAAGTGTCGGGACTGACTTTCGATCCTGCTCGACTGAAGACTCAGCATTGTCTGGGTTCTTGATAATGAACTTAATGTACGTTACCACAAGAAAATCGCGTCCCCTTTGTATAAGCAACCTCCCCAAAAACAGACACATTGAGGCGGGGCCGAATCCTCCCGAAATCATCCCTGCCCTTTAAAACCTATTCTCAATTAGGGGGAGGGTTTCGAGACTCCAAATACCCTTCGAGAAAGAGCAAGAGCAAGAGCAGCAGCAAGAGAAAAGCAAAAGCAAGAGCTGGAGTAAGAGCCAGAGCAGGAGCAAAAGAGGGCGCAACAGCAAGAGCAGGAGCAGGCGCACGAGACGCAGCAGAAGCAGGAGCAAAAGCCAGCACGGGAGCAAGAGTCAGAGCAGGAGCAAGAGCACAACCCCTCAAAAGTGGCAGTAGAGATAAATCCCCTCCTAAGATTAAAAACACTTTCCGAGTCTTTATTGGGGCGGGCCGTTTCATACTGGGGGGGTAACGACTCATTACGACAACCCTACTGTTCGGGCTGTCGCCCTACTTGCTCAGTCCCTTGAGCACCTAAGAAGTATGGCACCTTAAGCGAAAATCCATAATGTAGGGGCCTTAATAATAAGAATAGGGTTTGGGGAACCATTATACTATATCTATTATAAGGAACCACCCAAAATAATTTAGGCTCCTATTGTTATAATAAGGAACCAGCCAAAATAAGTTAGGCTCCTATAGTTATAATAGGGAACCAACAAAATAATTTAGGCTCCTATATTTATATAAGAAGGAACCACCCAAAATAATTTAGGCTCCTATACTTACAATAAGGAACCACCCAAAAATAATATAGGTAATTATTTAGGCTCAAATATTACCGCAACCCAAGCCTCATTTCGGGAATCTGGCTGCGGATTACCTTTAGCCAGCTGACTGTTTAGGGGCTTTAGGGGTTTAGGCTTTAGGGTTTAGAGTTCTCAGTTTAGGGTTTAGGGTTTAAGGTTTAGGGTTTAGGGGTCTGTCGATCCAACATTCTTCCTGAGCCCGAGATCACCCCGAATGCTGCGGGACCCTCCCCCAGAAGATCCTCAGGCATCAGCTAAGTCTCATCGATGCTTGCACCATGAGGTTTGCCACAACCCTCAACCCCGTAACCTCTCGCCAGCGAAGCCCAAAGCCCCACAGCCATGCGCCGCGACAACGCCTCCTAGAACCACCCCCCCATTTCAAACATCGACCGAGCTCCAGCTTGCCCCAGGGCCCCAACGAAAGCGGCCCAAAAAAGACGGTCACCACCATGAAGGAGTCGGGCGGGATAACTCCCACAGGGCGGTCCACCCAGAAGACGCCTGGCAGATTCCGGTGGAGGACGGGTCAGGGCTTCGTATTTGCAGGTGCCGGGATCCAGGCGTAAGGGGTTTGCGTAGGATTTTTTTTGCATGATCGACTCTGACATACTGCACATCACCTCACTCCAAATAGCAGGCAAGGATAGCAAAACCCTCAACCCTAAACCCTAAACCCTAAACCCTAAACCCCAAACCCCTTAACCCCCAAACCCAGACAAAGGTTGAGGAACCCAAGGTCATGAAAGCTTGGTAAACCCCGTGACCTAAACCCTACAGCAAACCCCAAAAAGTTGGAAACCTCATAAAGGGCAATTAGCGCTGGGATTCCGTATAAAATAAATACTCTTAAGGATTGAGGCTATTGAGTTTACCACCTTTGGGCTTCTACTGTAGTGACCTAGCGAAGGCCGGATAAAATAGGGGCCTTAAAAATTAGAATAGGGTTTTGGGGCCCTGTAAACTATCTTTATAGTGAGGAACAAAAGAGTGTAGGTAATTATTATATCCAATCCCTGGAAACTGGCAGTCAAGCCGAAAATCCCTTCGAGCACAAACCCTAAACCCTAAACCCTAAACCCTAAACCCTAAACCCTAAACCCTAAACCCTAAACCCTAAACCCTAAACCCTAAACCCTAAACCCTGAACCGTGAGATTTCGGATTTGGGTGCATGGGGGAGGGTTTTTGGGTTTCAGGGTTTGGGATTTACGGTTTATGGCGTGAGGCATTGGATTTGGGATGCCCAGTTGGGGGGGGTAGAATCAAAGCCCGGGATCAAAAACTAAACCCTCGAAGAAGACATAAAGCATATATACCCTCAGCCCCAAACCCTCAAAACCCTCATCATCCCTCAACCCCACATCCTAAATCCTAAACCCTGAACCCTAAACCCGAAACCCTCCACATCCCTCAACCCTAAACCCCAAACCCTCAGCCCTCAAATTAGAATAGGGTGCTGGGGCCTTGCGAGTGTACGACGACTGTATGATTACAAGAAGGAACCCTGAAGAATAACACGGCCCCTATCCCTATCTCTGTCTCTATCTATATCTGTATCTCTACACGCATATGTACGTATGGGGTTCCATATATATATATATATATAGAGAGAGAGAGAGTTATTTATTTATTCATTTATTTTTATTTGTTTATTTATATTTATAATTATATTTAGATTTATATTTATATTTATATTTATATTTATATACACACACACACATTAGGCCACTGTGTTAGGTGACATTCCCTCGGCTAGAGAGCCTCGCTGCTCCACATTCACGAAGTGGTAGGGAGCCGGTCGATCGCTCTTGTTGTGAAGCTGGAGCCTGCACATCGGTTTAGGGTTTAGGGTTTAGGGTTTAGGGTTGAGGGTTTAGGGTTTGTTGTGAAGCTGGAGCCTGCACATCACACCTACAAACCCCACACCACCTTTACGAGCTTTAGGGCTTAGGGCCTTCGGGTTCCACCCCAAACCCTAAACCCTAAACCCTACCTAAACCCTAAACCCTAAACCCTAAACCCCAAACCCTACCTAAACCCTAAACCCTACACACTAAACCCTAAACCCAGCTCAAGAACAACAATAGTTTGCTCTTCGGCCGATGTCTGAGAGTTTCAGGCGATGGGTCCCCCCAGGTTCAGGCATCCAAGGCTTTTTCGGTGGATCTCAGCCGTGCGGGGTCGGCTTAGTTATAGGGTTCAAGGCTCAAGGATTCGGCTGGAGGACTAAAGAAAGTCCCCAAATCACTAAACCCAAAACCTAAAACCCTAAAAACCTTGAGCCAAAACCCCCAACAAATCCTTAACCCCTAAACCCTACCGCTCTAGCCTTCCCTGGCGGAATCTTGGAAAGCACTGAGGCCCTTGAGACCAAACTGAACAAACGCAAGCGCCCCAATCAGCTTAGGGTTTATTTAAGGCTTGGGACGCTCATCGGAACGGCCTGAACAACCGAAGGATTAGCAATATTTTCTTTCAGGGTTCCCCATTAATTCTACATATGCCATAATAGCCCTCAAAACCTAAACCCTAAACCCTAAACCCTAAGCCCTAAACCCTAAACCATAAACCCTAAGCTAGTCTAATCATGAAGGTGCCTCTATTAGGAGTTAAGGGGCCTCAATCGGCTCAGGGTTATGGTCTTGGAGTTCTATGCGTCGCCGCCGTCTGCTTCGAATTCTCGGAAAAACTGCATCTCAAACGTTCCCAGAGGCTCCAAGACCCTTGAATTAAGGAAAAGGCCTAAATCAAATTCGGGATCCTAAACCCTAAACCCTAAACACATTATAATTGAAGGTATATTCTTCAAATAAGGGGTGTTGGAGTTTTTCTGGGCTCCACGGCTTTATGAGCCGAGACAAGGCCCCTCAACACAACCGCTCCACCCGAAAACCCTTAGAGTTTAGGGTTTAGAGTTTAGGGTTTAGGGTTCAGGGGTTAAAGTATCGGACTCAAAACCCATGCATTGCAGTTTTGCTCGCAATAGGACTCGTCATAGCGCTTAGTTCCAAAGCCCCAACCCTCCACCCTAAACCCTACACCTCTGAACCCCAAACCTCTAAACCTGATTTCTGCTTGGGCCCCGAGCGTCCGCGAATAGGTCTTTCCGCTTGGCACTTCGCCAAAGTTGATCGACCTGCCCGGAGAACCCAATACCCCATAGCTCAGGCATATACCTTAAATCATAATAGCAAGGCCCCTTTAAACCTTAAACCCTAAACCCTAAACACTAAACCCTAAACCCTACACCCTAAACCGAAGGTATATTCCTTAGTTAAGGTGTATTGGGTTTTTCTGGGTGTTGGCCGAACTCCAGGCTCCACCTGGGTCCTAAAATGGTTCCCTTAAGTCAGTTCCTGTAAAGGTTCCATTAACCGGTTTTACAACCCCTTGAAGGGTTCCTATGAGGGTATGATAAGGGTCCGATAGGTTGTATATAGGTTTTTAGTAGATGGTTTTGAGGTTTGAGCCGAAATGTCCGAGATTTCAGCATTTTTTGGGGTGTAAGACATAGTTCTTATACGGTTGTGAAAGCTCAAGACTAAGCAGAACATGGACTTCACCAAAAACACGAACGAATCCTATCAGCGGCCTAGTTGCCAGGGTATGTCTGGCACTTCGGTTTTGGGGCTCAGAAGGATTCGTGTCCTGCGTCTTCGGTTCAGCTATGAATGCGGGGGCCTTCATAGTTAGACAAGGGTCTTGGGGTAAATTATACTATACTTATAATAAGGAACCCCCAAAATAGTACAGGTAATTATTTAGGCCCCTTTAGTGGCCTTCTCGACCTATTTCTCCCCTTAGAAAACAAGGCACCGGGCGGATGCCGATTCTGATAAACATGTGAAAGCTGGTCCAAGATGCCGTCCCGTCTGAAGCAGAAACATCCCGGCAGTACACATGACCGAGGACCCAAAAAGAATAAAACCCTAAACCTTCAACCCTAAACCTTTAAATCGAATGTAGTCAACTGCAAGGAAGCCCAACCCCTAAAGCCCGACTTAGCACTTATGGGGCCTACACCCCAGAACACGAAATCCTAGACCCGGAAAACCCAAAGCCTTACACCACTCAACCTACGTGACCAATCCCCAAAACCCCAAAACACAGCCACACACCCGAACTAACCCCTAAAACCTAAAACCTAAAGCCGAAACACACCCAAAACTCCAACGCCTCACAAGCGAAATAACGCTAAATGAAACCAAAACCTCCATGCAGGAAGACCCTACATCTCTGAAAAACCTAAAAGCTCCAAACCCTTGAACACTAAACCCTCGACAGCAACCCAGAGAACCCAATACCCCTCAAATAAATAATATACCTTAAATTATAGGGGCATTCATATTATGATTTAAGGTATATTCCGTAATTAAGGAGTATTGGGTTCTCTGGGAACTTCCTAAACCCCCACCTGCCAAACCCCTAACCTCCGAAACCCCATGAAAGGAACCCTACAACCTTTATAGAACCCTTATTGTAGTTCCCTCTCAAGAAGCCCTAAACCCTGAACCCTAAACCCTAACCACCCTAAATCAAACCCTAATCCCTAAACCCCTAAACCCCTAAACCCGTAATCCCTAAA